GGGGGGGGGGGGGGGGAACCAAACCCAGAACAGCCAAACAATGTTATAAAAACAGTATCACAGGCTAGAGGGGGTAGGTATGTCCTTTTGTTTCTAGCTGTAAGAGGCCTGGTGCCACTTGCTGATCCATAGGGTGTGTTTTTATTACTGTGCCGAGTCCTTCTGAGGGTGACAGGGCTGCATTCATTGCAGACAACCTCTTGGATCAGCCACTGCCTTTCCTTTTGTGGGTGGGTGGATGGGTGATTGGTTGGTTGTTTCCCCAGCTTGAAGCAATATTTAAGTTTTAGAATTTGCAGGTTGGTTACCCAAATCATTTTTCAGCTGTGTAACATGTTAGAATGTGTGTGAGTCCTCTGAGGGACAACTTGAATAAGGTAGTTTCCCATTTCACTCTGGTAACAGAGATTAAGGCTAACAAAACAGCACTCGTATGTCAATACAATGGTGACATGTAAGATGCTGTTATCTGTAGTTTCACTAGAGATTTCCATACCTTTCAACAAGGTGGGACTCGTGGTAAATTTATGTTTTCTGTTCCCTGTGCTATAAAAAAAGAAGAGTGCAATTGGGCCTCCATTTCAATTAGAAATGTTTCATACCGTATATAAACATACAATATGTGTGTATTTTATTCTGTGAGTCTATATATGTGAGATACCTGAATCTTGCAACAAAGTGTGGCAAAACAAATGCAGCAATTACTATGCTGATGATCCTAATCTGGTTGCTTTCAGCCCTGAAAGCACATATCATGGATGCAGGATGGCATTCATAAGAAACAGAAAACTAAAGAAGTGGAGTAATTTCACCCTTTGTGTGGTTAGAAAGCTTTTAGTCTAAATAAAATAATATAAACAAACAGCACAGAAGCAGCCAGTCGTCTTCCCTGGAGGCAGCCCAGCACTCTGCAGGCTTGGATACAGCTATTGATTTTTCTCTAGTGCCTAGTCACCCACAGAATCCTGACTGCAGGTAGTCAAGAGTCTGTGCTTTCTGCTTATGCTTTTAAAAGAATGGCTGACTGCAGGAAATGTGAAGTGGGCAGTGAAGAAAAATGCATCGTTTTGGACTGTAGTAGGCGTCTAGTCATAGTTAAAGTCCTTTGCGTGCATCTTCAGGTAGACGAGTAATATTATGTTGTTAGATGGGATACTGAATATACAGTACTCTGAAATGCCACCTTCTTCACTGCTGTCACTGTTACCCATTTCTGCGAGGTTGTATTCAACATACTTCAAGATACAATTACTCTCAACATTATTTTTTGCCTGTAAAATGGAAACTGATCTGTTGACATAAATGATTAATAACAAAGACATACAATATCAAAGATCTTTTTTCTCAGAGCTATCCTGATAGAAATGGGCAGGTTTGAAGCTGGGCTCTCTGGGATGTGAATAATGACATGGGCCTGCAACCTCAAAGGTTGATTTTAAACCCACATATTGATAACCTCATTTTTTGCACTGCTAGGAACCACCATTGTGTGAAAAGGAGAAAGACAGGCTTGCTGCACTTCCTACAGAAAACGCTGTCGAGACTAGTGGATCAGCGGGTGATCTCTCCAGTGACGCAGATGACTCTGCTATTGAGCAGTCTGTTACGTTACCTCAGCAAAGCTTTCGGAGGCGAGCAAACACACTAAGTCATTTGCCAACAGAAAGCCAGGAATCTCTGGTACCTGCCGAAACATCGCCATCTGTTCCCCAGAGGAAACTTATGAGGTATCACTCAGTGAGCACAGAGACTCCTCACAAGAGAAAGTAAGACTTATTAAAAGCAGGCTATGATTTGGTTTGTCAGGGGCATATTTGGGGATGATAATTGCATACCAGGTATGTCCTCTTAATGGATAAGAAATGTATCACAGCAGTGTGTTACTCTTTGGAGGTTTGTAGGTGTTCTGTTTAAAAACACTTTTGGCCCTGTGCGCTAAAATGTTAGAGAAGTGTAGTTCCACAAAACTGAGTGTAAGCACAACATAGGATTGCCTCTAAGGGTTCAATTATATTTTTGCAAGCAGTATTCGTTAACTTTTTGTTGTTTTGATCTGCAAGCAGTGTGAATAAGTGTTACTTCTTGTTTTCTGTGTATAGAGAAAAATCGAGTACTTTGTGATACTGAAAACCTTACTAGTTGATTTCATGTGTGCCTTTAAAGTAATGCATAAAACTGACATAAATTGCCTAATTGTTGATAGAGGTGAGGCTCCTGTCTAGCTTTTCCATGAGCCTATGTAGATTTTACTCACAGAACCAAGCTACTGCTTGCCTTCGTGCTAATATTCTTCAAGCTATCTTTCAAAAGCCTGCCTCTACATCTCTGAAGTCTCCTCTTAACTTTATGGCAGTTTTCTTCCCTCCCTCTATCTGGCTTTTTCCAATGACTATGGAAAGATTTCTGTCTGGGGCTTCTGTTTTGCTGCCAAAACTGCTGGTTTACACAAGTTAGTAGGAAACGTGTATGTGTTCCAGCTCATTTTTCCCTGCAGGAGGCAGGACTGTAAACGAACATGCCTGAAATAGGCAATGACAATGGAAAAAGTCAGAATTGTAGTACTTGGAAGAAAGCAACTTGGGTTGCGTTTTTGTCCCTTTTTTGAACCTTTTGAATTCTAAAATACTAGATTGTTTTTGTAGTGTAGTTTAGGTCTTGTGTTGTTGGTTTGTTGTCTCCATGAGAGTTGCCTAGATGCTTGTAGCTGCTTGTTCAATTAATTCTTATCTTACTATAGGAATGCAGCTAGAAATCAAGTATATTTTTCATTTCCTTGGTTATTTCTGTTTGGATTCGATCATGTAATTTTTGGTAAGACCTGAGTCTGCCTGCTTCCTCACATAAATCAAAAAAGTCACATTTGCTTCCTTTTCATAGCAAATGTACAGAACCAGGGCAAATTGAAATCTTACAAGAAAAGTATATTTAAAGTTCTCAAAAATCACTGGAACGATAGACTTGGAACACATCTTAACACATTTTATGAGTGTTTTTGAACAGCTTACCTCAGTTCATAAATTGTTTCCAAAGTGTAAGTAAATTCATTTCGTCGTGTGGCATTTCACTTCTCATCCATTAGAACCCCTGATCATATGCCTGACTTTATCATAGAAACCAAGGGGAAATACATGTGAGGGAGAAGAAAGGGGTGTGTCAGTGACAGGTTTTTTGGGGGTTTAAATTTACACATACACTGGAGTGCATTGCTGAAGTCTGTAAGTGTGTATTTGGGACTTTGGTGATTGGGTTAAAATGTTCGGCCTCTTACTGTTTCTGCATTAATTGTGCAAAACATAGATTCTATGATTTGTATTTGCCAGGTCCCTTTTAAAGATTAGAGAAGGGATTTCACTTTTTTTTTTAACCCCATCCCTCCTCTTTTCTATCTTCCTGTGTTTTGTTCTTTGTGCTACCTCAACTCCATCGCTCTGGTTGGAATCCCGCTATACGGTTTGAACACGTCTGTCAGCAAATCTAAAAGTTCTTCTGGTCAACTTGCGTGTTCTCCTACTCTAGCTCGTCTTAATCCCTCGGCCTCTTCACCCAACTTCTTTAAATATCTAAGGCATAATTCAAGTGGAGAACAAAGTGGGCATTTTGCACAAAAGAGGTGAGCTAGCACCTGTATGTAGTTTGGAGTAGAGTTTGTTTTACCATGTCATAAACATTAAGCTCTATAGTGTAAATAATTAAAATAATTTAGTACAGACCAAAGATGGTAGTTTTTTATGGGAGAGGGAACAATTTAACTCCTCCACTACTGAATGTAGAGCTGCTATTTACATGATTTTGTTTTAACAAAATTCTTCCAGATACATGAACATGTGACTTTCTTTAGTGTCAGTTGCTCCAAAGCATCTTGTTATGCAGCAGACAGCAGCACTGCTTAAATTGTGTGAGGGATAAGTTGCCAAGAACCTGTGATCCAGCTCACTGTCCCTCCTGAATCATCCAGTTCTGTTCTTCGTTCATGGTAACACAGAAACATTAATATTCTCTTGTGCCTGACATGAAAGGCAAATTGACCAAGTTAACTAAATGGGACAAGAAATAACAGGACTGTGAAGAGCCAATACATAAAGACTCGCAAACAACCAAAAACCACAAACAAAAAAACCCCACTCCCCTCCAAACCCAAGAACAAATAAACAAACAAAAAACCTCAACCCACCAGCTCATGTATTTGGCTTGCTTACTTTGAGCAATATCAAATTACACTTTGCCTCCTTTCTTAGAGCAAAAATGCATATAGAGAACATTTGAGATGTAGACGTTAACCCATAATTCTCCGGGGAACCTGAATTAAGTAGCTCCCTAAAAATCTTAACTGTGACACCCTTTCTTAACCCCTGGAACTAAAACTGCTTATTTTAGCTCAAAAGGCTAATGAGACCAAATGTCTCTGGAAGCGCTGTCAAAAGTCGCTCGCCGTTGGGAAGTGATTTTTGTTGCTGTTTATTATTTGGTTTTGTTCTCTTGGGTGAAGGTTTCCTCTTCCCCAACATACCAATTCTTCTGATCCTGAGATAATACACAACTGAGAGCCTTGTTTCACCATTTCCTTCAGTTGTATTTCCCAAGTACTGACTAGCATTTCTCTTAACTTAGCTTCACCTCAGAAGTGTGGTTATAGCTCAGGGAAGGAAATGTGACTCTACAGTGTCCCCTTTACTCTTCATTTTAATAAGACTTACTTGAATCCTGAAGGTTAGATTCTCAAAAGTACATTTTTTTTCAAGTAGATTGGGTAATGATTCTGCACGCACAGTAGCAACTTCTCCTTCCCTTTCCCTGCCACTTCAGGGTGTACCACATTGAACCTCTAGCCAACCAACAAGACTGAAAATGGAAATTGATAGGGATATCAAATAGGTTAATGAGTTTGAATCAATAAAGTCAAACTGCCCAAGTTGGTTGTATTCCGTAAGTGAAATTACTGTGTAATTGTGATGGATTTACAGCGCAATTGTAAGTGAAACTGGTTTGCAGGGCACTCCATGCCACCACCCTATCTTCTCTGTGCTCAGTACCAGCTACTAAAGAATGACATCACTTCATCACATCATAATGCTCAATGTTTTCATTCCATGCAGAAACTTATCTGAGTTGTTCTCACTTCATTCTGTTAACCACCTTCTCAGTGTGTTGGAGGCTTGTTATTTGAAAAGAAAGAGCAGAATTCTGTTGGACAGAAAGCTTGGTGAAATTTGATTAGTGCTTCTGTCTGTTGCATAAATTGAGGCACAATATTAAATGATCAGTCAGAAGGCTTAGCTTTTAAGCTAGAAGTTCCAAGCTTGCCCAAATAAAACCCTGTTCATGCTTTACAAAATGTTTTTTCTAAAGTCCTGTTTTTCATTTGCTAGCACGGTGATTACCAGCGTCAGCTTTTTTGCCCAAACTCAGTCAGTCATTGAAACTGATAAATTTAAGTAAATGTGCAGATAAAGTTAGCATCAGGTCTTACTAGATTAAAGGAATTGTCTTTAATCATGCACTAAAAATCTTGGGATATAGCAAAGAATAACAATTGCACAGGAAATCAATTTATTTGTATTGGAACATGTTAGTTTTCCTAAACAAATACATGTTTCAAAGTAGAACTTTGTTAGCAGTTCAGTTTTGACTTTGGTTTCCTTGATACTCAGGCCTTCAGGATTTAGCTGTTTTGTGTTTGAAACTTAGCAGTATGTATTATTTTTATTCTGTGGATTTATACTTCTTTGTTCTAAACTATACTTTTCCCAACTGCACTCTCAGCATCTCCTACCGTACTGCCTTAAGGAAAAAGCTTCATTCTTCTTCTTCTGTGCCAAATTTCTTAAAATTTCTGGCTCCTGTAGATGAAAATAACACCTCTGACTTTAGGAGCACAACAAGGTAGGGTTCTTGCTTAAAGCCTGGAGGTAAAACTGTGTTGTCAAAGGTTTCACTTGCATGTATTCTGCATATGATTGCTGTCAAAAGGGTGGAGCTATCCCAGACTCCTCTCCTGTTGAGATTGCAGAGCTTAGCCATTTTGATGATGTAATGGTCATGTAACTTCCATCTATGTACTTCTGTGATAACTCCTGACGGAGTACTGTGTTACAGTTTTCAGTTAAAAGAATATACCTGGTTCATCCTAAGCAATGTCAGTGTCCTCAAACCAGAAGGAGAGGTTGGTCTGTAAAATGCTCCTCCTGGTTGCTGCCAGAGCTATTTGAAGTTCATTTATCTCTTTCAGCTTCAACAAAGCCTCATGAAACCGTTTAGCTAATGGCTGGAATAAAGCAATGAGTAGTTTAAAGATGTAACGGGTGAAAGTTATCAGTGGGATTTTTAATAGGTGAACAGCATTACTGTTCACAACTTCATTTCATGTTCTGAATAAAAACCTCTGTATATAGTTTGTGGATTATGTCAAAGGAGTAACATCCGAGGCTTCCAGGACACTTCCCAAGTTAGTTGCTTATTTCAGAGGGTGACTTGCAAACACAGAGGTTAAAAGTGCTGCTCCAAGTCTGTTTTGTGAAGGAATAGATTACATACGCAGTACACAGAAGCGTGGAAGTTTAGTTGGTGTTTATAAAGCTCCTTGATGTGTGCTGATAAAAAGCATCAGTAGTTCTTTGTGTCTCCTGTGAATAGTTGCTACATTTTGTAGGTGGCGTTTAAGTAGCAGAATGGTAAAGATACATTATGGTATATGTATCTTTAATGCGTTGTGTTTAATGCACAGCTGCAAAGCTGAAAAATTAATTAAAACTGGAGAAAGCAGATTGCATAGAGCTGCCAGCCCTTTTTGGTGAACTTAAGCGGTGTTTGCAGCCCGGTATAAGCCTGCTGCCACAACGCAAGCTTCACTTTCCTCACGCCAAGAGCCTCACCCAGCATGGGCACAGCACGCTGCACTCCTTAGTTGATGGTTTGTGCTACTGTGTTCACCGCAGGCTGCGTCACTGTTACTAGCAGATTCAGGTAACCAACCTACTCACAGGCCGTTCTGTGTTCTGCAATTTTAGCGACTATGAATCCAAACACAGCCAGCAGGCCATTGGTGCGGACAGCCCTGTAAGGACTCGACGGCATTCGTGGAGGCAACAGATATTCCTGCGAGTGGCGACCCCTCAGAAAGCGTGTGATTCTCCCAGCCGATATGACGGTAAGGTCTCTGTTCGTGTGCTCCCATGAACGCTATTAGTGGATGTAATCTGTGATGTGTGGAATCCTTCTTCTGCCACCTGGTGCTCTGTTTGTACTGTCATTGCAGTTTTCCCACCTACTTTTTGGTCGTGCCAAGCTCAGCAGCTGTTGAGTTTTTATTTTTCAGTTTTGTATGTAATACAGTTCCAATTGTGTCAAATTAACTAAACAGAGAAGAAATTGTTTTTATGTGTACTATTTCAATGAGTTGTGGGAAAAAAATGCATTGTCAAGTATTGCTCTGAGGAAAAGGGGATGCTTCTATTTAAGCTTTCCATGCTGGAGTATAGAACCATGGACTACAAAAATCTAGGCCTAGCAGAAGGAATTCAGTTTTCGTTATCACAGAATCACAGAATGGTTTGGGTTGGAAGGGACCTTAAAGACCATCTAGTTCCAACCCCCCTGCCATGGGCAGGGACACCTTCCACTAGACCAGGTTGCTCAAAGCCTCATCCAGCCTGACCTTGAACACTTCCAGGGATGGGGCATCCACAGCTTCTCTGGGCAACCTGTTCCAGTGCTTCACCACCCTCTCCGTGAAGAATTTCTTTCTGATATCCAATCTAAACCTCCTCACTTTCAATTTAAACCCGTTACCCCTTGTCCTGTCACTACAGGCCCTTGTAAAAAGTCCCCCCCAGCTTCCTTGTAGCCCCTTCAGGTACTGGAAGGGGCAATAAGGTCTCCCCGGCGCCTTCTCTTCTCCAGGCTGAAACAGCCCAACTCTCTCAGCCTGTCCCCATAGCAGAGGTGCTCCCACCCTCCTGTCATCTTCGTGGCCTCCTCTGGACTCTCTGCAACTGGTCTATATCCTTCTGATGTTGTGGGATATGAGGGTTATGACAGTTGAGTTCTGTGGTGTGTACTTTATACCAGGCTGAATTTGACCTCGTTTATACTGCTCTAGTCTGTGTTTCTTTGCCACTTTAGCCATACTGATCCACTCTTCTCATATTTATTTCCTGGAATTCTGTAGAGCTGAAGAACCACAGACTAGAACAAAAAATGACTGCACAAGAGCATGCGGGTGCGCCATTTTATGATCTCAGTTTGAGAGCCAGATAGCACAGCACAGGCTGAGGCCAAGAATGCCTCAGAGAAGATTGTGTCTGTGGAGAGTGGTCTCTGGCTCATTAACGTTTGCATTTCACAGCTTGCGCTCTGCAACCTCTGCCTTCTGACTGATTATACAAGGCCATTGTATAGGAAATAAGTAGAAGGGAATAGGAGGGAACAGTACATTATAGTAAATGTAGTGAAAAGTAACTATCCTAATGTCACTGGGGCGTTTTTCTCACATCTTAAAGAGTGACCTTGGTTAACTGGACACCACACATAGCAAAAGTGTTTCTGTCATTAATGCATTGCTTGCAATTAAATTTGACTGATGATGGGGTAAGCTGTATATGGGCATGGATGCCTCCCTCTCAAATTTAGTGTGATTCAAAACAAAGTGATCTCAAAAGTCACAAAACCTTCCCATATTAAATAGGAAAAAACCTCTAAACTGCCTATCCAAGCATTTCCTCTGAGACAATAATAACTGCAAGATACAATCTTAACAACCTACAGCTGGATAAGCAGAATAGTTGGAGAAACAAGTGTGGCCAAAATGGAAAACAGGAAGTGCTATTAATAGGAGGAACAATTTAAAGTATCTGGCCTTTTTCTTCTTTCTGTTTTTGTTCCAATGTACATACTGAGTTTATGAACAGAGGGAGAAAACTCCGAGTTAGGGTTGTCTACAAGTATTGGGTTTTTCCATTTGGATTTTCATGCATCTCCCAGAACATTTCTGGCAGTAAGCGGTAGTCACTCATGATCCAGTCTCTGTAGCCTTTGAGAGCTACTGTGCAGATGACCTTACATTGGACTCACCACCACAGCTAACTTAGTAAACTCTGTAATTCCAAAGTAAATGTAAGTAGCTTCATTCATCATCTTGTTCCTCTTTCTTTCACCTTCTCTCAAGGAGAAGCAGCACATGCTGTGGGTTTCATTGATTTGATAAGTTACCTGTGATTCCTTTCTTTTAAAGGCTTTCTTGCCTTTTTTTTTTTGGACTCGTTTCCTTTGGAAACAGAACCAAATGTTTATGTAAACAGCTGATGTGTAATCAAAAGATAAGTTTCAGCCAAATTGGATTGAGGCAAAAAGTTTTAACAATAACATGTTTTGTTATGTTCTGCAAAAGTAAGCACGAACAGAGGGAAACAAGGGAACATTCATGAGTTGACCTTTGTAGACTGACTCCACCGACCAACTTCTCCATTCAAGGCCACACACCATTCCACAGTACTCTACGGGAGAGCAGTAAGAAGAAAGCCTAGGGATTTTTTAGAAGTTAGTAAGTCAGCCAACCAAGAGACCCAGATCTCTGTGAGTCAGAGATGATAAAGATTTTCAGGCTTAGCACAGGCTGCTTTACTGAACTTTGTGTTAAACATAAAATCCACCACTATGCCTGAGTAACGCCTTGCTTTGACCACATGTGGGCAGGCACTGTAAACAAAATGAAACTGCTCTGTGGCAGTAACTTCCTTGGGTTGTAATCAGTAAAGGTGCACCTGTAAGTTGTCACAAGAAATAGAGACAACTTTAAGCTTTATGCACATGGAAGGGTCTAGATCCTGACATTTGTGATTCCATTTGTATAGGCAAGTGGTGAGCTGAATCTCAAGCTGCATCATGTTCATTGCCACTCTGTGTGGTTAACACAGCAGGATATGAAGGTGTATTTCCTAAAAGTTTAAAAATAAAGGAAAAAAACCGATGAAAACCCAGACAACCAGTACATAGCTTTTGCAGAAAATTTGGGTTAATCTTACGAGGTTCTGAACTTCAGAGATGTCTAGTGCCCGAGGTTCCCACATGAAGGTGACAGCACTTTGAGTCCAACTGTCTTGCGTTTTGGGATCCTTTACTTCTTTAGGAGGTGCTCATAAGTTGTTTGAGATAAAACTTCATTTCCTGTAGCTCAGCTGGAGAGAAACGATTGCTGGCTGTGCTTTGGTGGTTGCATCATGTATTACCAGGCAGAGAGCATGCTCTTTGTTTTGCAGACACCATTATTTAAAAGAAGGGACTTACTATACGTGAAGGAGGGTTTTTGTTTCTTACTAGTTCAGGAGTAGAGTGGGGAAAAAAAAGTCCTAAATCAGTAGAGTTTAAACAAAAAAATTGCAAATAGATACACTAGAATGCCTTTTTTCTTCTTTCCAACCCCCCCTCCTCCCTGGCCAGTTTTGATTCTTCCCTTGCCTGACAGCTGGACTCAATCCAGCCATGCTCAGGCAAGGTGGGTGCTCTGAGACAACAGTCTCCTGTACAGGAAGCCATTGCTTTTGGTTGTTACGGGAGCAATGTCCCGTGTGCACACCCTGCTCCAGCCACCTCCTGTTTGTGGATGCTGCCACTTTCCCTGCTATTTTTCCCTGCTTCTGTATGTAACTTTATGATGAAGAACATAGGAGAAACAATATGCAGTTTGCTGCCTGGCAGGACAGCCAGATGATCTCTGGTGAGCCTGAAGATGGGGCTGATCTCCGGTTTGGGGATCTAGAAGGGATCTTCTGCATAGGTGAAATGACCTGTAGAGATTTTTATTGCTTTCCAGCTGGTAGCTGGAGGTTTTCAGGGTTGAATTATGCTAGCTTTATTGTAGCAAGCTACAGTTCAAATGTCCAACCTCATCTCTTGCTGTTTCCCACTTCGCATGGAGTGGTTGTGCTGCTGCAGGTGGTGTGGAGCACTGGGGGACAGCATTTCTCGCCACCACCTTTAGAGACACGCAGTGTCTTGGCCTCTGATATTTTTCTTTTTTATTTATTTGGGGGTGGAATGAGTGTCATAGTCCTGCACAGTGGACAGGTGGAAAAAGAGGAGCACAGGTCACTTACAAAATGGATCACACTTTGATCTGTTACAATACTCTGTTTCTTTTGAAAGAAGGTTTTTGTTAATCTCTTTTCCCAAACTTTTTTGGCCCGTTTTATATATATGAGTACACAGCATTCACTCTGGCTCTCCCACTCACTAGCTTAAACATTCTAAGTAATAAAGTGTTTCTTCAGTTCTTTGCTTTTTTACTGTTATACCTGTCCACTCTGCTTTCAGCCAGATCTTCCTACTTCTGTAGGGTCCTTCTATACACGAGCCACATTCTGTCACTATGCAGGTAGTTTAGGGCTTGATGGTTCTCTGTCCTCACTGGTAAAAAGGTGAAGGGAATGACTTGGTGATCATTTTAAACCAGCTGAATTATGGGCTCACTCAAGAAAGGCGGTTAGTTTTCAGTTGGATCAGTTTTCTGGTGGCTCTCGCAGTACCGTGCAAGCTCTAGAGCGGGCACGGGGCGGCAGGCAGGGACGCGCGTCTGGAAGGTGAGGGTGGGGGTTCTCACCCTGTACGGGAACAGGACACGCTTAGATCAGTGCAGAGTGATCATGAAACCTCACCCTGCACTGCAGTGCAGCAGGATATTTGCATGATTTTATACAGCAAATACAAATCTCTGTGGAGGGGACTGTTTTCACTACAATTTTCACATACTGACTGTTCAGAATTGGTCATAGTGGGAGAACTGTTTTGCAGATTGTCAGAAGCTTCCAGCAAAGTCAAGTGCTGGATTTAAAGGGGCTGTGAATAGTTTTCTAAACTAAATGGTGGGAAAGTGATGGTGCTTGTCATGAGCTTTCTTGCTGGGGGAGGTGTACTGGCAGTAGACTTTTATAGATTAAGTCTTTAGATTTTTATAACAGCTGTGTTGGTTTTAGGTTGGAGAACAGGTGACTTGCTTTAAGGTGGGCAGTGGGTTTACACGGGTTACATGTTCAACAGTGAAAGAAGTTGCTTCGGAGGAATGAGATGCTGGGTGTTGCTTTGCAGTACTCAGAAAATATATTCACATGAAATAAAGGAACTTTAGCCAGAACAACTATATAGTATTTTATAAGT